TAGGTACGGACGGCTTCCACTCGTTCACAGGCGCGACCCCTCGGGGTGAGTGCCACGTGGATGCCAAGGGCGACTCCTCCCTTGTAAGTTCGGTACTCCCGGTAACCCCGGGCACATATCACCGACAACCGTCTTATCTTTTAAGACACCAAATTTATATATACCTATATACTTATAAAAAAATACGTAAGGCTTCCGTTTAGGTTTTTGTTAGTCGTCGTTCGTCACTCCGACTCTATCCGCATCACGTTCCATCCTCACATAATTCTTTTGTGTGTAGCCAACACCCTTGTCGACAGCCAATACGAAACAGATACTCCCACCGTCATATTTTAAGTGTAGCTGTTGGTTTCTCTGCTTAATGTTTGACCGTCCATCTTATTTAAAAAATATAAAAAATTAAAAAAATAAGTCACTAATAAAAAACTACTAATTATGAAAAATTTTAAATAAGACGAATGATCAAACGTTAAATATAGAAGCTCATAGCTGCACTTAAAAATACGATAGAGAGAGTACAAAATAGGATCAGATTCTGGTTCCAAACCAGGACTGTGGGCTATTTCCATGGATTCTGCTTTGTTGATCGAGCCCACGAGGACTAGACCCACCACGGTCCCCGTTTGGAAACTAAAAGGCTGATGAGAGGAGAAAAAAATGGGGAAGAAACGCAATCAAAGCAAAGATTTATTTACTAAGTACAGTCCCAACCCTCCACCTAAAATAGTTTCTATGGCATTAACTATATTACCATGTAGAACTTTTAGTTTATGTGGCACTATATTAATTAAGAGAGAGAGTGAAGAGAGGAAGAAACTGGGTCTCATGTAAGACCCAGCTTCAACACAAGAACCTATGCACTAAACACTATCAAGTTTTGCATTGGAAAAGAGTAGTGTCTTCATAATAGATGAAGAATTAATATGATTGATAGAAAAGAGAGATGATGTATTTATTAATGGCCCACTTTAAGAAATCATGGGTTGTGGAGTGTGGTTTCTATTGTGATGTCTTATTGATATGGCACCATAGACACTGCTTATAGACACTATGGGTTGGGACTGCCCTAATGAGTAACAAATCCATACACCTGCAGTCTCCTCTGCCACATCTTTTGACCTCCTAATCCACCTTCTATCCGTATTCCAGGCCAGCATTCTACCACATTAGATTGAGTGATTAGGTAGAGAAGAAAAGTGAAGAAAGACGATGAGCCACCCCTAAATCAAGAGGCAACCTCCACATAAATTTCAAGAAAAGTGTGAGAGCATTAGAGATATTGGTATTTGTGTACTAGAGATGATATATTGTATGGATTGTCTCTTACTTTCTTCGTTTCACAATGTAAGTCATTCTAACATTTCTCACATTCATATTGATGCTAATGAATCTAGATAGATATATATATGTCTAGATTCATTAGCATCAATATAAATGTAAAAAATGTTAAAATGACTTACATTGTAAAACGGAGGGAGCAGTTCATGAGTAAATAAAATAGATAAATTTGAAGGTAATGGTCATATCTACCATAGCACTTACCATTAGTCTCTTCCTTCACTACCATGCAGTCCATGCTCACTGAGACAGGAGAAAAAATGATAATTTTTGGGGATTAGAGCGCGGAGGAGGGAAGTGAAAGGATAATGACACCACGCTAGACATGGCCAATCGCCACTGATGGAATTATCGCGGATGACACGAACAGTCACTCTGCCAAATCACCAACACCTCTCTTGCTCGGTCCAAAGGAGTCAGAGGACGGTTTAGAGGTTAGACTGGGGGATAATTTGTCTAAAGTCACTAGCTATTATGACTGATCAAATGGATCTGATGGCTCTCAGCGCACCGATGCCGACTCGGGCTATCACCTGCCACTGGGAGTGCTCGTAGCATGTGAATGAGAGAGATGGGCCACGCTCATGTGTGTAAACAAGCTGGCTCGTTTTCACGGCACATATTTTCAATTACGAGCCGTTTTCTTCATTTCCCAGCCATGTTAAATTGGTTTTTTATTTATTAAATTAGTTTTAGCACTCTTTGAGTCATTAAAAATTACTGAAAATCGAAATAAAATTTAAGGCTAAATTTAGTTAAATATTTTTTACGGTGCAGAATTATTTTTCTAAACAAAGTTGAGTTTTCATGACATTATGTTTAATGACACAAATGTAAATAAGGTGTATAAATTTCCAACATGGTCCTTAGCATAATCACAAAAATATATTTTTTCAAATTCATGCAACCTTTAACGTAAGCTTATATTTTTCCCGTTACAATGCACGGGCACTATTTTCTAGTCAACATAAAGAATTGAAAATCCTTGAAAAAATTAGACGTGATATAACAAGTAACTTTTGTAACATTTGCGGTATATTTTTCATACTTCGACCGAAAGATATGGCTGCCTAATATCCTTCAATTATCCACGTGTTACTTGTATGCATGTAAATTTGGTCGTACATGTAGCATTCCTCACCGGAACCCATTCGGTGCCCTAGTCCACTTGTTGCTGACGATCGTGATGTTCCATGACGAAACAAAAACCATGACGGGAAAAGGGCACAGCAAGCTCGATTTGGAAGCGTCGAATGTGGAAGCAGCAGTACGTTGGTGCAACAATTTGGGTGAAGAATGGGAGATTCTAGCGGTCAGATCCTACAAGCTATACGTACGAGTCGATCAATCAAGTCTAATCACCCACTTCAACTAGATGGGCAGATGGTCGTGTGGCTCTTGCACGTTGCACGTCTGCTTGATTGGTTGGTCTGACGCCATAAGCGCATGATGATGTCCCCAAACATCAAAACTGCGTGCCAAGAAAAAAGACCGCGTACATGCCGAGGTATCACGAGAAGAATATGCATCAGAAATTCCCATTCCGTGGTGGTGTTTGGATTCGAGTACTAAAGTTACTTTAGTACATGTCACATTAAATTTTTGAAAACTAATTTAGAGTATTAAACATAGACTATTTATAAAACTAATTATATAAATGAGAGCTAATTCATGAGATAAATTTTTTAAGCCTAATTAATCCATAATTAGATAATGTTTACTGTAGCATCACATAGACTAATCATGGGTTAATTAGGCTCAATAGATTCGTCTCGCGAATTAGTCCAGAGTTATAGAATAGGTTTTGTCAATAGTCTACGTTTAATACTTCTAATTAGTGTTCAAATATCCGATGTGATAAAGGACTAAAAATCCTATCACATCGGATGTTTGATATTAATTAGAAGTATTAAGCGTAGACTAATAATAAAACTAATTGCATAAATAAGAGCTAATTCACGAGACAAATTTTTTAAACCTAATTAATCCATAATTAGCACATGTTTACTATAGCATCATATAGGCTAATCATGTATTATTAATTAGTCTCAATAGATTTGTCTCGCGAATTAGTCCAGGGTTACAAAATGGGTTTTTGTTATTAGTCTATATTTAATATTTCTAATTAGTGTTAAACATCCGATAAAGTACTAAAATTTTAGCCCTGATCCAAACAGCCCCTCAGGGGATTAGTATTGCACTGGTTTCCGATTGATCATAGTTGAAAGTGGATTAGTATTGCACTGGTCGGTACCATGTGCTTTCACACTTATGTTAAGCGCTTGTGTATATGTCCCTCGCTACAAAAATATAGTTATCTTTAAATTTTAAATTTATTTCAAATATAACTACATAGGATTATAAAAAGTTGATTTTTTTCACCTACTTTCCCATCCTACCGCTATCAATCTACTTTTCGTAGTATTATGTTATATCCAATCCTATAATGAGTTATAATGAGTTGTTATATTTTAAGATAAAGGTAATATATTACACAACCGCCTAGCCCTAGATTATAATGAGGGTTATTTTTACATTGCACAGTACTCCCTCCGTTTCATAATGTAAGACTTTCTACCATTGCTCATATTTATATAGATTTAATAAATCTATACATACATATATCTAGATTCATTAACATCCATATGAATGTGAGCAATGCTAGAAAGACTTACATTATGAAACGGAGGTAGTAGTTTTTATTAGTCCTTCCAAGTATTTCCCTACCATGTGTTGGTTTTCTTATAGTCCCTCCAAGTGCTTCCATACCATATGTTTTGTTTGGGAATGAGGTGAGATAGGTTGGACTCATATGGGATGGTATCTATCCATTTGACATGAGAAATAAGATGATTCTACTTTTTAAGAGAAGACCCATATGCTAGCGAGAGAAAAAGTTGGGTTGATTTTGTCCGTTAGTTTTTTATGGAATATGTCAACCCAGATCTTAGGAATATCCCCTATCAGTAACCATCCCATTCCATTTGTTCTTAAACCAAACACCATGAAAAATAGGTTCAACCCAATCTGATCTATACCAACCCTTCAACCAAACATATGCTTAGTAGCTACTCCATCCTTTTCAAATTGATCATCATATAATAGAATTCAAAATTTTTCAAATTGATAATCATATAACCGCATGGACACGTATTTCATCAAAATACAATTAATGTAGCATGAGAAAATGTGTGCATACTAAGGTGTAGTATTTGGCATAGTGTTTTAAACGATACATGCATTGTGTGAAAATGTGTGCATGGTATCTTAATTGATGTGATTTAAATTATTCTTGGTTTTGGTGCATAAACATATCCCCTCCATTCCAAATTGATCTACATATTTCATAGGTACACCAAGACCAAGAAAAGTTAATAACTCTCTCATACTATATTTACTCTAGCAACAAACTCGATGCATACACCATCCCCACTATTTTCTAGCCAATAGTAAATCAAGATATTACATGTGGGTTATAAATACTTGTGTGCATGGATGCATGCATCAATGTTCATTTACTCCAATGCACAAATAACAAATAGACTTAATGAATGAATATAAATATGTAGATTATTTAGAAATAACCTAAAAAAAACTATACGTAGATCAATTTGGAACGGAGAGAGTATATGATATGATCAATTTAGGAAGGAGTGAGTATATTTTGACACTGAGAGGATAGTTTTTCTTTTAAGTAGATGAATAGAAATTCGGCATCTATATCCACAGCCAAAAGTTACATGGATAAAAAAATTCAGGCCCCAAAACTAAGAAGCAACAGAATATAGCAAAGAAAAGACGAGAAGACTAAGCTTCGATCTTTAGCTGCCTCACGAACCCTGTCGCGCTAAAAAACCGCCCGCTTCACGTACCCTGCTGCGCCAAAAAACCGCACCGTCTTGATCTTGATACACAACTCTCATCCATATTTCATTCGTCACTATGTCCCTAAAATCGGCCGAATCCCCATCGATTCAGATCTGACAATTTCCAGTCCCTAGTGTCTTCGCTCACCGACGCTATCCAGTGGAGACAGAGAAGAAGCCCCTCCAATATAGTTTTGCACTGAAAGACCTACTTGGGATACTTCTCCAGGCTACTAGTTTTTACATTTTGTTTATGAACGTTTGACTAATATATCATAACATCTCAATCGATCATGAAAACAAGATATCAATTCTACATGTTACACCCTTTATTTCTCTGAACTACACGCCGCACCTTGCAAAATTTAGAAATACACCTAAGCCTATTAAGTCAAATAGGTGGCAAAGTGACCACCCACCTTTCTTTCTTTCTTTAATATTCAGAGATACACGGCTGAACAAAATATTCACAGTTTTAAAATTGGACAAAGAGTCCAACTTACAAGTATTCAGTTGACAGAAGAACACGAAACCTTCGAGGAGAAAAGCAAGCAAGCCACTCTGGTACTTAGAAGCAGAACCTCTTTTTCTGCATATAATGGATGAACACATATGAATTGGCTAGCTCAGTGTTATGAGATATTCTTTACATTTTTTTTCCTAATACTATATGATGTTGTTGACTTTTAGATATATGGTTGACCATTCATCTTATTAAGAAAACTATGCAAGTATTATTTATTTTGTTATGATTTATTTTTTTATTAAAGATACTTCAAGCATAACTTATATTTTTTATATTTACACTTTTTTTAATAAAACGAATGGTTAACGTATGTTAAACATTAATGGCGTCATATATTTAAAAACAGAGGGAGTACGATAGAACAGGGATGTGTGCGAACCAAATCATGAAGTTCCCTTTGACTCAATCTAGTTTAACTTAAAAAAACACACACTTAGCAACAAAGAATAAATTCATTTTTATATAAACTAGCGGGTCAATAGGTACTTCTGGGTGAACTCACTCACATCCATAACTAAAGAGTAGTTGGCATCAAGAACAAGCATTTCTCAAAAGGAAAGAGTAATTCATAGGAAAAATCCACAACTTACCCGAAATTGAATATTCTTTTGCTGGTCGGCGTATGCAAGCAGTTCGTCCAGCCTCATCAATGCATCATAAAGCATCTGCTCATGGGAGAAACAAAGGTCAATATGGAAAATCGCAATTTTTTGTTCAGTTCTTAGTTCTTACTATAGCGAACAATCAAGAAATTCGGTGAACTGCCAATTCTTGGGTGTAATAGTATAACATATAGAAACATTACCTCAGAACAGTAGTTATATCCTTGATACCACTAAGCAATAAGCTATCTAACGAGAGTACATCTTCCTTGTCACACATGCACACCCACAGAGTGCATATGATATGTCAAGACTCAACAGTACCTTCTTTGTAGATATTAGCTCGGCTTCCAATGCATCAACACGGTGAATGGCTCCATTGAGCAATTCCTCTCTATCCGGTGGCATTTGAGATTGCTTTGCTTCAAGCTCCTGTAATTTCTCCTCCAATTCACCAAGACGTCTCAATACAGACGAATGTGTACTGTTTTCTGTGAATCCGGGAGAAGATGGAGGTCAAAACTCTTCCAAAAACTCAATTTCTTGAGGGAACTCAGCACTATAGTTACCACGGGAAATGGCCTGGCTTGATAGACTTGCAGTCACTCTGCTTGGGACAGAACGAAGCACGGCAACAAAGCTCACGATTAAGACTATCAACCACGCAGTAATTCGATTTCGAAGTCCTCCCAGTTCCATCGTTATGTTTCTCAACGAGAACGAATCTGTGTAAAACATGCAACAAACTCAGTCAAAATCACTCCAATAAACTCTTGGTGGGCTTACCGGTCACCACTCACTACATACTATAATGTAATGGCATGTTTGGTTTGAGGAATGAGATGACCACTTGATCTTATACAGGTCGCTTGGTTTGAGGAATGGAATGGATTTGTCCATCATCTCTAAAAAGTACATACTAAATGAGAAACTGAGAAATGGAGTCATTCCACTAGATTTGAGAGATGGTCCCATGATGGATCACCCATTCTAGATAGTTTGATTCCTCAAACCAAACGGCCAACAAAATTCCCAGTATCTCACATTTCCCTAGTTGCATATGGGGGTACGAATGTTTGAAATCAGCAAGTAGACAACTTCTCAATAAGAGGTACAAGTATGAAGGTGTCATATAAAGACCTGAATTAAAAGCCATTGAGCTGGTTGATGGACCGGCGCATGTGTCCACAGCCTTGTCAACAACAGGGATGTCCTCTACTCTGGGAGGGGCACCAGATGTGGAAGTATTTCCCGGCAATTTGGACTGCAGAAATATAAAAAGATGCATTTATGATCATATTTACCAACATAAAGATTGATTAAGGAGGAAGAAAATTAAGAATGCCACATCATTGTTTAGAGCGAGTACTAATCAGTAATCTGAGCTCAGCCTTGTGCAGTTGAAAAGACCAATAGAACGAGTACTAATCATTAATATCAGCCTCGTGCAGTTGAAAAAACCAAAAGGTACAAGATCTTGCCTCGTCAACGGGTGTCAAATGAGGGTTTATGATGGGGTTAACTGAAGCTATAGGAGATGAAACATCTTCCATTTCAGAACTAGACTCAGCAGAGGCATCGCTGCATTTTTTCTGCGAGGGGATAGAATCAAGCTTCTAACGGATAGTTGTTATTTTAAGATGATGTATGAGTAATCTCCATTCAAAGCATGCTTACAGTTAAGTGTCTAGGGTTAATATAACATATTTTCTTCCCATCAACGCTTGATATAGCAAGAATTTTCCGTCCATAGTTTGCTTCACCATTAAGGACCCTCTGAAAATCATAGACACATTATTTTAGTGTACAGGATTTCTTTTCAAAAAAAAAAAGGTGTACAGGATGAATAAGAAGAAGGGTAGGGTTCAGGAAGAGTGGAAGACCTTTATTATGTCAGGATCCTTCCAAGGACCTTTATCTGATTTTATGCAACCTCCATGTTCTTCACACCTGCATTTGCCACCCAGAAAATCTGGAAGTTCACTGAAAACATGAATTAAACAAAATTATTAGGATAGGAACCAAACTACAGTATTTGTGACAGTAGAAAAGACCTAACCTCTCATCAATAGTTTCAAGTAGCTTATTTTGGTATTTGCTTCCAAGGACCTAGGTGAAAAAAGACAGATAAGGCTATTATCACATACTAGAAGTAAATATTATTCTGAATAACAATTTTCAATACTTACATGAATCTTCGAAGCAGTTTGTGGATCAAGAAATGATTTTATTGTACCCCATAACATCTTGAAGCCTTGGCCAGCATTTATAATGTACAATCGGTGCAAGGTCTGCACGAGCACTAGAAAGGTATTAGATAAGTCCTTTGTTATGACCCCAGATAAAAACAAGTTCTATAGAAATGTATATAGTGACAAAAAACGAAGTGAAAGGGCAATAGTGAAAAATAACATTAAAACATAATGGAATCACCTACCTCTGGATAGTTGTCATTGTTGATCTTCTGAAGTCGCATGATTAGCTCTCTTGCATCTTTTGAGAAGTTCTTCAAACCCTTCACATAAAAAACAAGTTAACTACTAATCTACCCAGAAATTTTGGCGATAGCAAGATTGGCTATAAAATAACATACCACTCCTTGCACATCCAAGATAGTACTGCACGAATCTATGTGCCTTTTTGCAGCAATGGAGCAAGCTGGAAACCTCATCTGCAAGCACTTCTCGGACTCCTTGACATGATACTTTACATATCTGTCAATAGTTGTGACTTGTACTAATTTGTTGGGATCAACTTTTCCAATTAGTTCTATGTAGACAGGCCTTCCCTCTTTATCCACACCATGGTAAAATTGTGGATAGCACTCCAGAACATCATCTAATTCGCTATAGTCAAATTCCTAAATGATCCAGATGTCAAACTTCCAGAAGTTACATGAAGAAAGACTATCACTACCTACGTACTGGAGCATATGGTCCAGTCTCTGCTTTACCTCTATGTTGTCAGCCCCGAACTCCTTCCTCCATCTAAGCATTTCCGACCACATATGTTTTGCTTTATCAATATCAAATTTTCGCGCTTTCAGGAACCTACATGTGTAACATGTCATAGGCACATGAAGAAATTTTAAATCAAATAAGCAACGCTGAATTTTCTGCAGGAGTAAGGAGAAATCCAAGTAACTGTGACTCTGAGATCAGAAAAAAATTGCACCTCAACATCACGTGATAATCATCATGACGTTCTGGCAACAAGCCCTCATCATGTAAGCACTGGTGAAATCTTTGGACAGCTTCCAGCTCCTTGACATCCCTTATGTCCTCTATAGAGGCTACATGGTCGCCGACCCTCCTTCTTCTCTTCCTTCTCAAGGAACGCCTAAATTTATTTCCAGCACTGATAGCTCGGTTCTTGAAGGAGACTGCCTTGGCCTTTTTGTCACCTTCTGAGTTGTCCTCATCGGATTTCCACTCTTTCTTATCATCATCATGCACAATGCCTTCAAAACCTGCACCTGCTATATAGTTTCAACGAAATGCCCCTCCTCCTAATCAGGTTGAAATGGTAACAACTACATTGAAAATAATCAATACGAGAGCAGAGTACATAGGAGTTGCAATTAACTGAAAGCAGCGCAATTACACGCACGTTAAAAAAATTAGGGAGGTGTGATTATAATCTCTACAGGTGCTAAACTACTACTATTAAAATTTCAATCCCACTCGAACATGAACTATTTGTCTATTTCCGAGTGATTTGCCATGTTCTCCACTTGCCCCAATGAACCCCCTCACAGAATCAATCTCTCTGCAACCGCAATTTTCCGGTGTTCGCGAATGACAAGCAGGTAAGCATTGCATAAACGAGAACGGGCAACGCATGGCGGCATGGAGAAACAACGAATCATCAGGGAACACGCAGTCGAAGGAAGAAGGGAAACAGTTCGCACTCACAGGGCCGATCGATGGACCCCGCCATCTTCGCCTTCCCCACCCGCGGTCCGACCTCGATTCCTCGCAGGGTAATCGAGTCCCCGAGCCTCGCCGCTCGCCGATGAACCAGGGTTTCCGGCGGAGGAATGCGCGGAGACAGGAGGGGCACGAGAATGGAGAGAGATGGCTCGTTTGAAATTGATTGTTTTTCTTTTGATTTAGGAGGAATATTTTGATGCTTTTGTTTTGGGGGAGAGGGGAAGAGAAGCTTCTGTTTTCTTTTCATCGGTGGAGGAAGGGGACAGGGCAAGAGGGGAGGGGGTGTTACACGTATCCTCTCGTGGACCGGGTCCATAGGCTCGCAACAACCGCGACGCTGCATCAGCCTGCACGTAGGCGTGCCACGTGGGCGGCTCACATCGGCTCTGGTCCGTCGACCTGGCGAGCGCGTGCCACGCGTCGCGCATGGGCGCACGGTACGCCCGTAATATGAGGAGATCGAGCCGGTGTAGAGCGGCTAGAGCCCACTATGGTGAACCAGCTCCGTTTGATCTGCAGATGCCGATGCTTATGAGCCGTTGATTTCTCCTTGGAGGTTCTGATTGGCCTGATCGGGACACGCTCGCAGGCTCGCAGCAGTGGACGGCGCTGGTGATTTTTTTTTCCCTTTTTTTGAGATTCGCTGGTGGGGTTTCACGTCTATGGAGTATGGACAAGGTTCACCGAAATTTATTCTGGACGTGACGGTTCGAGGCTTTTGGGCCGGGCTGGAACTTGAGAGTACAGTTGTTGGTTCGGGCCGAAACTTAGTTCGGAGCAAAACAGGTATTCACCGCAAACTAAATAGGCATACAAATTCAAATCAGAAGCACGAGGATTCGTGTAAAGCAATTTGCTTAACGTTTTGCTAAAATCAATCGTGAGTGACAAACATGGGCACCTTTTGAGTCAATTTTACTACCAACGCCACCACGAATTGAAAGCACCCAAAATCATGTTCTAGTATGTATATGTATCTATGTATAGGTTCTTCTGTAAGTATTTACAAAGTTCTTCTTGATGTTTGGCTTTATGCACTTCAGGCGGGACTAGTATGTACACCTCCCTTCAGGAACTGATCAAGAAAAGTGAATTGTCATCCTGTCAGTTTGATCGAGCTAGTGTACGTGAAAGTTGACAAAGAAATTGACTATATGAAGATTTCAAGAATGGCATGGGCGACTGTTACCTGTTAAATCATGTTCTTTTTCTTTGCCCGGAACATGAAAAGCTGATCTCTGTATTGAGCTGAAACAGATGATACCAGATATTAGCCGCCATGAACATTCTGCTGCATATATTTGTGAGTCGGGAGGCGGATAAAAAAAAACAAAGACTTCCCATTTAGGGCCCATTTTGAACGCAGGAATTTTGTACGAATTAGTTGCAATTTCCACAAAAGAAAAACTATAAAATTTATCTGTTCCAGAGGAGGCAAAATAATGCAATGCAACACTGTCACAATGTATGACTATTTTACTATATGCATTTTAAGCCAACAAGAGCTTACCAGCATCTTTGTAGCGTTCCTCAACAGCAGCGACCAGCATATTGCGGACCAAATCAAACTCTTGGGCCTCAAAGCAAGGTTGATCGTCAGGCCTTCAAATGGTACGGGATGCATTAGCAGTGCTTTAAAATAAACCTTTCTTTACTGAAACCTATGAAGCTACTTTTGTTACAAACCTGTCAAGTCTTGTGTATTGGAATTGGTCTGAGCTTACATAGCTCTCAGATGGTGTTGGTTGTACAACTTTCAATCCATTGTTATACGCTATACGCCTATTCACTTGTATAGGAACCTATGTAAAGTTAGAATAAATTGGAATGAGTATCATAAACATCCATTTAGCAGCAAAACACCAAGAAGATCAGGATTTTTCCACATTCTTTGACTGCTGTACTCAAATCATTGGTTACGAAAATTTCCTCAAATGATTTAAAAGGAAATAAAAAGGAGTACCTCTAGAAGTATTGCATGCAAATCATATCATCCACAAATAACAAGGTTAAGCAACAGCACCAAAAAATAGATCACTTTTCTGACAGGACAAGGGAATCCTGTTTGCTGGTTTTACAGTTTTGTGGCTAGCGCTCAAACAGATAGATGCATGTTATAATCCCCAACATGCAACTAAGTCACAGCACTTCCAATATTCTGGGATTAGCAGCCTTAAAGGAAATATGGCCAGCACTCAGCAATTAATCAGAAGCACAGCTGCACAGGAGATGAATGCACACCTTACACCGGAAAGCAATGTTGATGGCATCTGATGGCTTGAGATCTAAGCTAATAGTCTCCTCTTCATTGCCAATCTGGATATCATGACACCATACTTCAGACAAAAGTAAAATAGATACTCCCTCCGTACTCGTAAAGAAAATCGTTTAGAACAATGTTTAAGTCAAACCTTAGGAATATAAATCATGAATAACTCTCAAGTTGTTGAGTTTGAAAATGTAAAAATTATATGAATAGATTTGTCTTGAAAAATACTTTCATAAAAGTATACATATATCACTTTTCAATAAATATTTTTATAGAAACAAGAAGTCAAAGTTGTGTTTTGGAGACCGTGTTGCTGTCCAAAACGACTTCCTTTACGAGTATGGAGGGAGTAGTTCATGTGAAGTCATTTTACCTTAGCAAGATACAATCGAGAATAGTATGCATCATGGACCATTTCTGTAATCCGCACCAAACGTACCTAAAGGGAACAGATCTGAAGTAATCAAGTAACTGATAAATGAACATATTATATGACATTTAAGAGAACAGATCTGCAGACCGTGAACTCTGGAAAACAGCTTTCCACTAGGACACTTTAGAAAAGATGTATGTATTGTCCGAGTGCATGATAACCAGCATACATTAAGTAATAAAACTAAAATAGTAACACACATAAGCACACCCATGAAACACTAAACAGAAAACCTAAACCATGAAGCCACACGAAAGTTGCAAAAGAAAGTCTGCTTATAAGATCTCATCTTAAACTCACCGCATATCCCATCCTTTCGGTCATCTCCTTTACCACATTATAAATAGTTGGCCTTGGCTGGAAAGACAGAATAGTCATGCAAATCAGATATAGTACATGAAAACAATTTAAAACCAGAATCATGTGGATGCTTAACATCTAACATATATTTATTAAAGCTACATCCAACTCTTACAATTCGAATGTTCCGAAGGGCAGCCAGCAACATAATACTTGGTGTTTCCACTGGAAAAAAGTAATGTGAGTATATCACACAATTAGAAAAGCATCTGCATAAGTGGAAAGCATGCCCAAGCAAGAATTAATACGTACTGACGATAATTGGAAGCAAAAGATCACTTCCATCTTCCATCTTCAGAACAATAGCATGGTGAGGTGCAGAATCCCGCAATCTTAATACCCGCGGGTTGTTTTGGACACATCTAAGGTTTTTGCCATCACGCATTTTAATCACAAATCCATCAGATACACTTCTGAGCTCAACTGCAAGGACAGATAAAACCACAAGTTTAATCTCAGAAATGTACAATGGTTGTTTGGCAATCGGCATAAATGATATACTAGTGATATGTAACTAATACTGCAACAGTAGCTTGGCATAAACGGTATGTAGCTGATCAAACAACAGCAACTGTTTCAAAGGCTCACAGCGAACTTCCCAACTCCCAACAAACAGTGGGCCGGACCCGGACATTGCTCGAACGACTATGCATCAAAACCCAATGAAGTTACAAGTTACAGTGTAACAGAAGTAAGCAATTACCAGCCTCCATCACGCTGGAGTTGACGAACTCCTCGCCGCTGGCGTCGTAATCCGCGGCAGCGGCGCCGTCCCCGTCGGAAGACGAGCCGTAACTGCAACAAACAGGCCAGACCCAGCCGCTTCGCGCATGCCGCTCGGACGGGAAACCGAAGAACCTGCGCGCCGCCCGGTAGTGGTCTCCCTGCAACCCACAGGCTCGTCTCCTCAGGTGCACGCGCCTAAGCAGCTGCCCGCTGATCTTCGCGTCGGAGGTCAGGGCGCCGGTCGCCGGAGCAGCATAGCGCGGGAGAACCGGCCCGTTGATGATCTCCATCCTTGAATTTTTACCATAAACCAAACCGTCATAAACGAACTCAAAGGCAACAGAAACATCAGAACTCAACTTGGAGAAAGGAATCGATGCGATTTTCACCGAACGAGAGGTCCAATTAGCGAAATGAGACCACAGCGAATTGGCAGAAACCACCAAATTGAAGAGTTGGACGTTCTAGAGATTGAGGGATGAACTAGCTTACCACCGATCCTGGCGGGGAGAAGGGCCTGAATGCCTGATCCGAGCTGAAAGACGCAGGAATTTCGGAGGATTTTGGTAAAGTTTTTGGCTCGAAAATTTTTTAGCCAAATGTTAAAACCCTTATCGCTAAACCCGACGGCTTTTATGGCGGATGCGGTTGGCTGCAAGAACTGACGGTATTACCCTTAGATATTTATGGCAGCAGCGGACGCTTTTTAAGGGTGTTTTGGGGAATACGGATGACCGGATGGAGTGGCCATTTCTGTCCGTTTGACTGTAATGGAGAGATCGCTCCATCAGGATATTTTTTCTTTGGATAGAAAGCGTAAGCGTGATGTGGAAAGGCGGAAGATATTTCATACTATACGAAGAATATACTTCCTCCGTTTCATGATGTAAGAGTTTCTAGCATTACTTATATTCATATAGATGTTAATAAATTTAGACATATATATGTATTTAGATTCACTAACATCTATATAAATATAGGCAATGCTAAAAAGTCTTACAATATGAAATGGATGGAGTAGCTATTTAACCCAACAGGAGTTCTATTTTACTATTGTTATAAAATGTAACATATGAAGGTTGTATTTGCCAAGTCCCAAGTTGGCCAAGTAACATCAACAACATGCTACAATTTTTAGTGGGAAAATTGGAACCATGCCATTATAATTTTGCAAAATTTGTTATATGCCATCCTGATCCACATGTCATTGACTCATCTAGCATTACTTATATTTATATAGATGTTAATAAATTTAGACATATATATGTATTTAGATTCACTAACATCTATATAAATATAGGCAATGCTAAAAAGTCTTACAATATGAAATGGATGGAGTAGCTATTTAACCCAACAGGAGTTCTATTTTACTATTGTTATAAAATGTAACATATGAAGGTTGTATTTGCCAAGTCCCAAGTTGGCCAAGTAACATCAACAACATGCTACAATTTTTAGTGGGAAAATTGGAACCATGCCATTATAATTTTGCAAAATTTGTTATATGCCATCCTGATCCACATGTCATTGACTCATGTGGGTCTTACATGTCATTGAGATACCGATAACATATCTCAAACTTTACAAAGTTATAATGGCATGGTAAAGTTTATTTCGGTCCTTGAATTTGGCTCAAAGTTCATTTTTCACCCTAGGTGCTAAAAAATAATTGATTTTATATATACGTGGTGCAATCGATCGCCCAACCACCAAAAAAAAAAGATGGCATGTAGATCATCACATGTAATTGTGACAAGTTTGTGGTGTTTGAGTTCAACAAACAAAATTTACTTATATTCTAGTATCAAGATATTTTCAGTGAAAAGTACTCTCTCCATCTCAATTTGATCATCCCCTAAGGTTTCTAAGATCTT